AACCCATTTGATGAGATTGATCACTTTTTTTCATACTTCCATCCTGATATTTTGATTTGCATTTAATTACATTTACACAGCTTTTTTTTTTCTTCTTCTAGAGTACTTGTTTGTGGACAGGAACTAAATAGATCTCATTCTGTATATACACTGGGAAACAACTGCTCAATACTCAGATTCTGGAGTTAGAAAGATCTGAGTTTGAATCTTGACTCTGCCATTTCTTAACTGTGTGGCCCTTAGGAGGGTCAGCAGACTTTCAATTCTCAGTTCCTTGATTGCAACATGGATGATAATAGCACCCACCTCTTAAAATTGGTTATTGTAAATAAATGGCTTAGTCTAGTACCTGGCCTGTGTTACCAACTCACAAATATTAATTATCATACTCCTCAGTATTATTATTATTACTTTCAGAATGCCCACTGACTACAATAGGAATGGCACAGAGTAGGAACACAATAAATGTTCTCTGCACAAACACACACCTTAGTACATAGATGTATGGGTGCACGAATGGACTACTGAATGTAAGCTGGGAGTTCTCACATTTCAGGTGAGTTTTAGGTTTTGGAGGAACCTGAATATTGTATTAAGGAAATGGATTCTATGCTGAAGGAGAAAGGGCCGTTAAAGGTTTGGCGCAGGAAGGCAGTACACAGCAGCTCTGTATCCTCCTGTAATTACAATTACAATTGTAATTGTGGGTGTAGACACAGTACCAGTCAGACCCAGAGGATATGTGAGGGCTGAAGTGTTACGCCAGTATGCACCTGGTGCTGGTCTTACCCAGGGCTTGCTATTCTTCCATGTGGAGCTAGTGTAGCACTGAGACCAGTAATCAGAGATGAGAAATCATTTCTAAAGAATTTTTTTTTTTTTCCTGGTGAATCTTCACTGTGTGACTGTTGATCAAATTAACTATATAATAGTTGTTTCCACTTCATTTGGGATTGTATGGAAACCATCTCCTGCTGCATGATTGATTGACTACTGTTGAAATGCAATTTGAAAACGACATGAGAAGGGAGAGAGCAATACAGATACAGTCTGGGCTACTTCATGGTCCCTGGGGCTGGCAGGGCTGGGAGGAGATGTTTCTTACCATCCTCGCTGTCTCTTTGCCCTTCACTGGCCACATCAAGTGAGGCTGAGCACTAAGAATGGAGGGTGATAAGCCTGGGCAAGTCCCTCTGTCACTTACAAGTGAGGTGAGCAGGACCACTTCCCTCATCTCTTGGAGACTCAGTACCTACATCTGTAAAAGTACAGAACTTAGAGAAGGGTGCTGGGCATTCATGTTGATGATGGTCACAACCAGTGGAGCATCTGTCCTGCTGTTTCTGAGCATAGAGAGGTAGCAAATAAAGTATAATAATTTATTCTTATTATTCTTCAGCTGTTAGGTCCTCTTAGTACATCTCCTTCCCTTTACTTCCACAGTAAATATTTACCTATCAGGATTATTGTTGCCCAAATACTCTTGTCTTAGTGACTGACCAATTAGTAACAAGGAACTGGACCTGCTCAAGCTTGTCTAAGAAAAAGGGAAATTTATTGCAAATAAAACACAGAGACAAAATATGCAATCTCAGGACTTCCTTGGAGGTCCTGTGGTTAAGACTCTGTGCCCCAAATGCAGGGGGCTCAGGTTTGATCCCTTGTCAGGGAACTGGATCCTGCATGCCACAACTAAAGATCCCCATGATGCAATGAAGATTGAAGATCCTCCATGTCACAGCTAAGACTGGGAGTAGTCAAATAAATAAATTATTATTATTATTATTTTTAAAAAGGTAATCTCACAGACATGTAAGGGTCAGAAACAACAGTTCAGGCACTTCGGGATCACAGGTGGACATTCAGAAAACAAAATTAGTCTCTGTTCATCAGTGACTTTGCTGGGTTTCAGCTCTCTCTGCCTCTTAAGGACTGGGTTGCTCCTCTCACGTTTGTTCATCTCCTTCTTGACCTGTGGTTTCAGTTTTCCAATGGCCTAATGTGGCCATGATCTACCAGATTATAAGTATTTATGAACGCAGCCCACAGTTCAGTCTGAAGGGAAATCAAAGCAGTCCATCCTAAAGGAAATCAATCCTGAATATTCATTGGAAAGACTGATGCTGAAGCTGAAGCTCTAATACTTTGGCCACCTGATGCAAAGAGCTGACTCTTAGAAAAGACCCTGATGCTGGGAAAGATTGAAAGAAAAAGGAGAAGCAGGTGACAGAGGATGAGATGGTTGGATGGCATCCCTGACTCAATGGACATGAGTTTGAGCAAGCTCTGGGAGATGGTGAAGGACAAGGAAGCCTGGTGTGCCACAATCCATGGGGTCGCAGAGAGTCCGACACAACTGAGTAACTGAACAACACGGTTCAGACTATGTGTCCTTCTAGGAACAGGATGATTGGTTTAGCTCTAGTCTACTCAGTGGTTCCTCTTGGGTCATATGTTTACCCTGGCCTGAGCTAAGGATCACACAGAACACTGAACGGTCACTGCCAAGGTCAGTGGGAGAGAATGAGTTCTTCAGAAGATGGTGAGCACAGGCAAAGAAACCAACAGATCCACCCTCTGCATAGAACACTGACCTTCAAACATTTTGAACAGTGACTCTGTAAGAAGCATATTTTCCATCATGATCCATCAGATACACACACATACACACCAAACAAATTTTTATTAAAGTGACACAAATATGATGATGGCTGATATATACTGAAATATCTTATTTTTGTTTTTCCAGTTTATACTTTAAAGGTGCTGCTACTGCTGCTGCTAAGTCACTTCAGTCGTGTCCAACTCTGTGCGACCCCATAGATGGCAGCCCATCAGGCTCCCCCGTCCCTGGGATTCTCCAGGCAAGAACACTGGAGTGGGGTGCCATTGCCTTCTCCTTAAAGGTGCTAGTCATGAGCAATTAAATTGATTTCACAACCCACTAAAAAGCTGTGACTCAGAAAAAGCTGATGCAGATCATAGGGAGAGACTTCTAATTGATCTTCTTTCTAGTCTATTCTATAGACCCTTATCAGATTAACCTTCTTTTATGTCCAGATCCTATGAAACCATCAGATTTGCCCTCACACCTATGAAGCTGATTAATCCTAAGTGCCTCTGCCTCCTCAGTCTGTCTGCATCAATCCATTTTCAGCTTTATGTGCTTGATGCCAAATCTATACTCTGGTGAAATAAACTTCCTCTATCTTTTCCTGTCTCCTCCTTTTTCCTCCTGCTTGGAGCACGCCCTATTCTTGCTCCTTCCAGATTGTGCTCATTTTTTAAGGCTCAGCTCCTACTCTACTCCTGCACCATTTTCCCTTAGTTTCTCAATCAGATGTGGCCTCTGTTTCCTTTGAAACCACTTCCATTGAAGTTCCAATGAAGTAACTTTCACCATCTAATCAATATTGGAATTGTATTATATTTGCATGGATACTCATTTTCTCGTTATATGTGGGTGGAGAGCAGCAGGATATCCTGTTAAATTTGCTTTTTGGTTAAATAATAAATAATCTTTTAGTGTCAGTGTTAGCCGCTCAGTCTTGTCCAACTCTGTGACTCCATAGACTGTGGCCCACCAGGCTCCTCTCTCCATGGGATTCTCCAAGCAAGAATACTGGAGTGGGTTGCTACTTCCTTCTCCATGGGATCTTCCCAACCCAGGGATGGAACCCGGGTCTCCTGCATTGCAGGGAGATTCTCTACCATCTGAGCTACCAATGGAAAATAAATAACCTTTTAGTATAAGTCTAAGGATTGCCTGAGTATATTTTTATTGTTGTTTCATCACTAAGTCGTGTCTGACTCTTTTGGGACCCCATGGCTCCTCTGTCCATGAGATTTCCCAGGCAAGAATACTGGAGTGGGTTGTCATTTGCTTATCCAGGGGATCTTCCTAACCCAGGGATCAAATCCATGTCTCCTGCATTGGCAGGAGGATTCTTTATCACTGAGTCACCTGGGAAGCCCAGGATATATTATAATTATCTGACATTAAAATTTAACTGGCCTTCTTGTATTTTATCTAGCAACCCAAGCCCCACTGGACAATAACTTCTTGAAATTAAGTACTATGTCTGGGGATTTCCCTGGTGGTCCAGTGGCTAAGACTCCATGATCCCAATGCACGGGGCCTAGGTTCAATCCCTGGTCAAAGAACTAGATCCCACATGCCACAACTAATAGTTTCCATGCTACAACTAAAAGTTTCCATGCTATAACTAAAAGATTCCGTGCGCTGCAACAAAGACCTGGAGCAGCCAAATAAATAAATACATTTTAAAAAAGTACTATGTCTTATTTGCATTCTCTCTGCTTTTCAGGAATGAAAGTGAAAGTTGCTCAGTTATGTCTGACTCTTTGCGACTTCATGGACTATACAGTCCATGGAATTCTCTCAGCCAGAATACTGGAGTAGGTAGCCTTTCCCTACTCCAGGGGATCTTCCCAACCCAGGGATCAAGCCCAGGTCTCCCTCATTGGAGGATTATTTGCCAGCTGAGCTACAGGATGAAGCTGGCTTACAAAGCCCTGATTAGGAGTAAATTATCCTTGGATGTCCTTGCTGTTTTCCTAGATGCTACTAAAATTGTCTCATGTATTGAGACAGAAAGCATTCAAACTTGTCACCAAACTTGTCACCCAACAGCAGAAAAGAAATCACTCTGACAGCAGAAAAGAAGGGTTGTATGATGGGAAGTTAGTCCAATGCAGGCGCGTGTGCCCATGCGTGTGTGCGCGCACACACACACACACACACACACACTTACTCTCATGGTCTATAACAGCTCTGTTTTTAACGTCTTAAATTGCTCACCAAGGAATAAAACTTGATGCTTACACAAATTAAAATGGCCCCCTTTACCTTGTAGCTTTGCATAACTCCCACACACTCTTGCTTATCTCTGGAGAGATACCAGCTGAAAAAGTACCAAGTAGGTTGCTTGGTGTCACAGCTGAGAGATGGAACAGGCTGGGGGCGGCTCTGGAGGAAGATGGTTCTGGAGGAAGTCCCGGCCCCAGAGCATGTCTCTGATGGGAGGAGGGAAGTAAAGCCAGTGCAGTGTTTCCCAAATCGGATTCATCAGGAGATTCACCACGTAGGTGAGGGAGGGTCCTTCCACATCGAGGCACTAGCTTGCGCTAAACCCCACGCAGAGGGAAATGTGGCCAGAGTAAAAACAGCAGGGAGTGTGTGCTTTAAGATCTGAATTCACAGGTAAGCTGTGGCCAGAGCAGGTTAGCCCAAAAGGCCAAGTTCAGGTGCTCTGCCTTCTCCCCAGGAGCAGAGGGAAATGCTTTTGTTTGCTCATAATAAAGTTCCTGTATTGAGTGCCTCTTGTGCAAAAGCTCTGTATTTTTATATTAAGTCAGTGGTCCCCATTCAGGGGTTATTTTGTCCCCTTGGGAACATTTGTTCATGCCTGGAGATATTCTTTCCATTGTCACAAGTTGTTAGGGGGTTGGGGAGGAGTTGAACTGACATCTAGTAGGTTGAGTCCTGGATGCTGTTAAATATTATACAACACATAGGACCATCCCTCAAACAAAGAGTTATCCGGTCCAAAGCAGTAATGTGCTGAGGCTGAGAAACCCTGGATAAAGCAAAGGAGAGATGTGTGTCTGTTTTTTAAAAACCTAAAAATTTTTCCTCCAAAGAGAATACCACTGTGTTGTTAAAGTAAAACACAGACAAAAAACACTGGCTCTCAGCAGTTCTTCTCTAAAATACAGAAATGTTCTGGCTCAGAAAGAGAATTCGGTCATAATAAAACACACACACACACACACACACACACACTCACACATACACACAGTGGCTCCACACTGAAGTCTTCACATTTTTCAACTCTCTGATAGTCAAGTGTTCAACAGACATGATAAGGTATGTGACTTTGCTTCTACGGGGAATTTGTTCCTTGAAAACACAGGCACGCAAATACATTAAAACACAAAACAAAACAAAACAAAACAAAAAACCTCTGAAGCTTGAGAGAAAGAAAAAAAAGCCCCCAGGCATCTCCCTGATAAAAGAATTGCAGTTGATCGAAATAGAGTAGTGACTATTTGCTGGCAGGGAAAGTGGATGGATTTTGAACGTAATTGCACGTTTTGTTTTATCAAGGCTTTGGTGCAGCCTGAAAGCCAGCAGCAGACTGTATTTGAGAGGGTGGGAGACACAGCCCATTCGCCACAGGAGGCATCTGCTGAGGCGTGAGAGGCAGGCTATCTCCTTTAACCCCTCCCTCTGTGGTAGGTACATTGCCAGACGCACAGTGGCCGTGACTGCAGCGGTCTTATGGTGCCCTTCTGTTTGGTTTCAGTTCATCTGGCAGCTTGTTTCCTGGCTGTTTGTCTTCCCTTCCCTCTGATCACTCAGCGGGCTCACCCAGACATAACGGTGTTTGACCAGGTCATGCAGATCTGCCGGCATCCTCAGAACCCAGGACTGGGCCCTCCAAAGAGAAAAGGGGAGAGCACCAGGAGGAAGAGAACACAGCAGCTACTGCAGCCAGGACTAGAAAAAGCCCCAGACACACGTCTGCTTTTGGCTTAGGGCATCTGCCCAAACTGCTAGTGCTAAGATGTCAGCAGCAGCTGCTGGGTTCCCCTGCTGCTGCCGCAGCTGAAGCCGCTACCAGGGAGCTCGGATGTTGGGCCCACAATTATTTCTTCCTTTTCTGTTTTGTGGAGAATAATACTGCGTTAGCCACAGAATAACTGCAATGCGTGTTTCAAGGCAGGAGACATCCTGCAATAATCTGGGAAGCCTTCTTGGAGGAGCTGGAACTTGGCACATCTTAAGGGCAAGGGAAATCTGAGTGGACTTTTCCTGTTGTTCCTCTTTCATTATCAAGGATCCAGATTAGAAGAGGAGGATATGAGTGTTCTTGTCAATTATACCTCCAATGCTTTCCTAAGTCCATTTTCCCAACATCCTTTTGGAGGTTGACCCTCCTTTTGGAGAAGATCCTTCTCCATATGATCCCTAGGATCAGATAGTTTACTTGGACCTTGAATAGCATGCTGAGGGCACCACTAGCCAACTGGAGCACTCCCTCCATTCTTTGCTTTTGATCATTTGTTTGTTTAGGGACTTAAAAATTCTTTAAGTCTTGTCAGGGATTAGAAATACCCCCAAACAAGTGATCACGTTGCCCTGTTTCACTTTCTGAATGTCACCTCCCATAATAACTCCTAATCTATGTACGAGGTAAGAATATAAGCTATCCATGTCTCAGTGTCTCTATCTTCTAAATGGGACGGTACTTCAAAACAGGGGCTGACTTCACAAAGTCTTGATTAGCTCTTCACAGGCTTGTGTGCAGAAGGCAGTTAGAAAAGTGCCAAGAACACAGAAGGGCTGACACATATTACCTGTTGCTTTATTAATAATTTATTAATTATTATAATACCTGTGCAGAAGGCAGTTAGAAAAGTGCCAAGAACACAGAAGGGCTGACACATATTACCTGTTGCTTTATTAATACACAGAGACTTCAGGCAAGGCCCAGATTAAGCACATCTGCCGCAGTAGCTGCCACAGCCTTTCCCATCACTGCCACTGATGGGGCGGTAGCCTTAAACCAGGATGAATTTTGTACTGTGTCCCGTCTTCACCATTTCCCGCCCTCCTCTCTCTCTCTCTCTCTCACACACACATGTACATACTACCCAGAGTTCTTCACATGAGGGATAAGCACAGCGGCCAATCCATGGCCTATGCGGCTATGTATGAGAGGACCTGGCAAAAGAGCCCATAAGCAAACAAACAAAACTTCTGTCCAGGTAAAGATGAGCTCAGGCAGTCTGATTCTAGCTCCAGGACTTTGAAGAGGGAAGTACGGAGCCCACCAGGGTGTAACTGTCCTAGGCAAAGTTGACAGGTGCCAGGAGGAGCCCAGGTCATGCGGAAACTAAGTATATAGGAGAAGTTATAAGTTGGTAGAAATCACGACAGCAAAAACCATGAATAAGAGGTGAGAAAGGCAGAGAGAGACACAGAATAGTGAGCAAGGAAGCTAGTAAGCAGTGAGAAAAGCAAAAATACACAAAGGTGGGACCAAGAGTAGTCAAGTTCAACCACGTTCTGAATGGAACACTGATGGGAAGATCTGCCCGAGTGTACTGCCAAGGTCTTTGAGTTACTATGGCTTCCCTTCTGGTCTTTCTGTTTCAGATCCCTGCTACCTGACTGGCCATCAAATTTCTTTCCATAATTTGGTCTGACTCTTTCTTATGGGCAAACAGTTAATGTAAAGTAAGCACCAATATAACTGTGCAACCTCATATATATTGTAGTTTTGCCTGTAGTTGTGGCTTCTTTTCTTTATTCTTTGTTCATTTCTTGTTCATTGCCTACATTTTTCAAAAGGATGGTCTCTGTTCTTGCTTTGTACAAGTTATGACAGTAACTGTGTAGGCTTTTATAATCCCTGGGTACAGAGGCTCATAAAGAAATAGGTACTTACTATTCAGTGCTTTAGAGGGGGCAGTGGTATATTTTAGAAGCAAACAACTTCCATCGTGTTTCACTTGTACCGTCATCATTTACAAATGTTGAAGTTCAGCTTTTGAACAACATTTCTGAGTTTCAAAAGAGTTTTTTTTTTTTCCCCTCTCTTAATTCTGAGGTAGGTTACAACATCATATAGGAGAAAGTGCCTGGGCTCTGGAGTTCAGGAACTCACAGACAGAATCTTGACTACTTTATATCACTTAAATGTTTTGAATTGACTACTCCCAAGTTTGCCATGAGAATTAAATTAGTAAAACTATGTTAATAACCTAGCAGGTAGGAAAGATTTGGAAAATACTGAACTCCTCCCATAATTCTTACTAGATCAGGACACTTGGGTTTGCAAACAACGGAAAGCAATTAGCCATCTTAAAAAAACTGGGAAATGCATTGTATAGTTGTTTTTTAGTCACTCAGTCATGTCCAACTCTTTGCAACCCCATGGACTGCAGCATGCCACACTTCCCTGTCTTTCATCTTCTTCTGGAGTTTGCTCAAACTCATGTCCATTGAGTCAGTGATGATCGGGGCACATTCTAGAACTCAAAGGAAGAGATGCAACTGGGCTCAAGAGGGATTTGAACTCCCGAAAAGCCAAAAAGAAAGTGGGTAGTATTTGGTTGACATAATGCTTACAATATTTAAACATCATTTATAATGATTACAAAGCCATTCAGACGATCTAAAAGAAAAAGGCACACTAAGAGGGGGCTTCCCAGATAAAGAATCCGCCTGCAATGCAGGAGATGTGGGTTCCATCCCTGGGCGGGGAAGATCCCCTGGAGAAGGAAATGGCAACCCACTCCAGTATTCTTGCTTGGGAAATCCCATGGACAGAGAAGCCTGGCGGGCTATAGTCCACAGGGCTGCAAAGAGGCAGACACAACTTAGCAACTAAACAACAACAACCATGAACTAAGAGAAAATAATGAGTTAAGGACCAGTGTTTTATTCAGAATAATAAACTACAAATAGGATGACTTTGGGACTGCTAGCATGAGTTAAGTGAAGTACTAAAAATGTCAATTACAGGCATAATTAGTGAAGCAAATAACAGATACAGGTTTCAGCAGTATTGTCTTATTTATCAGATTCTACAGATTTTAAGTGCTGAAATAATTGTATTTATTAAAAAAAAAGTCTGGCAAGGGATGTCTTTAATATTGCTGTTACTATCAAGACTGCCATTAAATTCTTATTTTACCAAATGTTATTTCACCAAATTAAAAAATGGTTTAAGACATCACATTTCTCTTGGCGTATCTTCTTAATTCTTCTGTCCTCTGCCATCCAAGTTTTCCTGCTACTAAGCCCCATGTCATGTGGAGAATACGTCCACCCAATCCTTCCCAGATTGTATCTCTTTCATTTTTTGAAGTTAACACGGACTAAACATCAGTTCCTTGATCTCAGTTCCAAATTTCCAGAATTACCCAAGTTAGCCCTTCTCCGATGCGGCCTCTAACCGGAACAGTAGTAATCAAGACGGGGTCACATCAACCACACATTGCTGCCATTAAGCCAGTCTGAATGAAAGATACAGGAGAAAATTGATCTGCGAGGCTATGGGGTGGTTGAACCTGGG